GTCCTCCATCCAGGCATGATACGGGAACGACCATTCGTAGGGCGCTACGGTGATGAAGAGACTGGGCCATCCTATTTGTCTTTGGAGGTCGACGAGAGCCGTGTGATAGGTGCGCCAGACTTCAGGCGAATAAGGCTTGGTCGATAGCGCCTCCCTGATGCCGACGCCGGATGCGTTCTTGGCTCCGCCGATGGTGGTGAAGAGCCATAGATCGTAGACAAACTGCAACAGCTGGGGATCGGAGTTGTAGCCGATCACGGCCGAGTGCACCTTGGCCAGAAAGCTCGCCTTGGCGCTTTGCCTGGTGGCTGCGGGGCGCCATGCTGCATCTTCTTCTCGCGTTTCGTCCTCTTCTCCTGAATCCATGGCTTGCCGCCGTCGATTCAATCTCCTTACATCCTGCGATCGCACGTAGGTCTCTGTCATCTTCTTGTTCCAATAAAGATGCGGCCACAGAGCGCATTCCAGCCCTGCGGTCTCAATGAAGTTGGCTGGCATTCTCTTGATGGGCGCCTCGGCCCAGATGTCTCCTCTCTGGATTGCACGTTCTCTGTGTCGTAGGAAGTTATGATGCATTCTCCAGAAGTCGATGTAGGCGGACGTGTCATGAGTGCCATCTGACCGTTTCAAGTACTTCAATGCTTTCTCTCCGCGACGACGCTCTTTTCTTGGCAGATGGGTTAGCGCTTCCTCAACCGAAATTGGCTTGAAGGAGAACTGCATCATGTCTGCATGAACGAGGTAGCCGTGGGGAGCACGGAACGGCCTTTTAAAGGTTGGATGAATCTGCAAAGGCCTCAGTGCTTCTATGGTTTGCGCCGACAAATTTCGCAATCTTCGGGGCACATCCTCTGGAGTGGGAGCCCAATATCCTTGCACGGCTCCAGACTTGCAGTGGCTGCATGCCTTGATCTGCGGGTCGCCCTTTGCGGTGCTTTTGGCATGGCTTCTGCGATAGTCGCTGGGCACCATTCGATTGCACTCCGAGCACGCCTGCCATGAATCCCAGAGACACCACTTTCGAAAGGCTGCGCCTCGAGGAGGCATCCATTCGGATTCCTCGCGAGCTTCCTCCGCATACAAAGAAGGAAACTTCCGCTTCAACCGGTCGGATTGTCTCTTCTGTATGTCTTGAAGAATGGCCTCTGCTTCGTTCCTTTTTCTATGCACCTGCGGTTGTCTTCGTTGCAAGACTTCTTCCCCGGAGACATGCTGCTTCTTGGCCTTCTTCTTACCACGCTGCTGAGGACCGAACTTGTTCGCCATCTCGGCTCCGTGCATTTCATGAATGAGTTGTTGTGCGTGATTGTACACGCCTATGTCTCTTTTCTTGAGTCGATGGAGAGCTCTTTGTATGGGTTGACCGCTGTGATCTTTGAGAGCTTCCTGGAAGGCCTCTGCGCTGCAGAAAATGCAATGGTCGAAGGCTGCGCCAGTAGTGGAACGCACATAAGGCTTTCCCCGACTTTTCTTTGCAGAAAACCCGAAGTTGCAGTCTTCGTTGGCACACTGCAACGCTGCAGACCTCCCTGATGTGTAGTACTGAAGGTCTACCCAATTGATGGCTCCCGTCGGTCGCTGATAGGGCTTCGGTTCCGCGTAGGCCTTGACATCGGCGACGGTCCAAGCATAAATGTTCTTGTAGCGGACGGTGTTCAGGTCCTCGATCATGTGCTTGTCCGGATTCTCCTCCAGCTCCTGTCTGCTGATGAGGCGACCCTCTGATATTACCATTTCGCCAACCAACATGCCGGAACCAGACTCTGCTATGCAAATGCGCTCGTTCAGATGCTTCGCGCACCTTTGGCTTCGAATCTCCCACGTCTTGCCCTCGCGCAAGATTTTACGGCAGTACTCAGGCAGCACGGTGAGGGCGTACCGGGGGCTGTGTTCGACGCCACTCTTGACGTAGGGATTTTCCAGCAATTTGATCTGCTTGTTCGCTTCTTCTGGTCCAAGTAGATCGTGAAGCTCCTGTATCTTTTGCAAGAAAAGACCCTGATCTCGCCACGAGAGGTCGAAGAGGGCTTCGGTCAGTGCGTACTACTACTACTACTACTACTATTACTACTACTACTACTACTACTACTACTGTGATTATGAGAGGCAGAGCAGTCGGAGAAGCAGCTCATGCGCATGGGCCTGAACACTGCCTTGGCCATTACCATCCACAACTTTCCCGAAGGCCTGGTGTAGAGTTTAGGCTTTAGGGTCTCTTCACTTACTGGAGGTAGTAGGGCATATGTGTTATATAGGGGTTCCATAGACATCATATTCATTTATTCCTTGCAAACTATCGCTATCTTTCCGCAAAGGCCTGGCTGGTATGGTTGCAGGCTTGATTGATCCCAGCGTGGGCTTCACGCTTACACTGGCCATCGCCATTCACAACCTTCCTGAGGGACTTTGCATTGCGCTGCCCGTGTACTACTCCTCAGGAAGTCGCCTGAAAGGCTTCCTCCTGGCGACGGTCTCCGGCTTGTCTGAACCTGTTGGAGCCCTCATTGCCTGGGGAATCGTTGCAAGCAGTGGTCAAGACATGAACGGCATGATTTATGGCATCCTCTTTGGCATGGTCG